TCTTGCCATTATTTCCTTGATTCGGGGAGACACAAAGTCTGATTCAGAAGAAGAAGAATCAGTAGAAAAAGACAAGTCAGAAGAAGCAGGCTTATAATCATCAAAATTCTGTTTCTTAAAGGGATACCCGGCTGGGTATATTACATTTAAAGGCAAAGGACTAGGGCTCTTCTGACCATAAGACTCTCGCACAATAGAACACGAAGCATCGCGCGATGAAGAAGGAGATTTATAGCTTTTTGAATCAGTTAACTTGTAGCTGCACTCAGTACTTGAAGAAGAATCACTCGATATCACAATAGGCCTAGTCATGTTCAAAGAAACTTTGGGAAACAAAGACGGACTTTGTTGAGAAAATACTTGCTCGCGATTAAAACATCGCGAGGACGAACCTAGCTCAAACCTACGCACAGATGGGAAACATCTGTCGTTTTCACAAGCTTTGGGACAAGGAGTAACACACTTATCAGTAGACCTTGACCTAGGGAACGATCTCGAAGGAGGACTGGACGAGCCAGACCGTTCGAAAAATCTGCTAAAATCTGTACATTTGTGATTATCGGACATGACTTGCAGTATGGGTAAGGGAAGACACACTACTAATATAAAAATACATTCAAGTTCAAGAAGAAAAAGTGAAGGAAGAAGATGAACACACTTGAGATTTATACTTCCGGATTCACAGAACCACGAGCAGGACGTGTCAACACCGGAAATACAGAGAATGAACGAATGACGAACACCAAAATTCTCAGGAATAGCAAACAAAGTTATTTTCCCTCCAAACAAGCACAAGCTTAGTACGAGTACAAATGGTAGTCTCTAACGGATAGTCCGAAGGACACCAAAACGTGTTGTGATAAACGGCTTTTAGGGAGCACGTGGCAAGAAGAGGAAGCGTTTCAACTTCCAAAACCACCCATGCTTACCCCTAATCCATCGTTGTTAAGCGGCTAATACTCATAAGGCCACTTTGACATGATTACCGCAGCACACAAAAAGATCATCTGAGTTACAAACTACTGCGCCTCAAAAACAGCATACAGCTCACGGCTTTGCCACATGACAAAACCGCAAGCTAGGGGGCAACTGATCTGGATAAAATATAGGCCCAATCAGGGCCCAACGACACATAAGGAAGCCCAAACCCATTAAGGTCTCAGAGAAAAGCGTAAAGGACAAGTACAACAAGTAAGACGCGATGCCTTCATCGCGACAGACAAGACGTGATGCCCTCCTCGCGACAGACAAGACGCAATGCCCACATCGCGTATGAAACCCCCTTTAGGAAGTAAACTTAAGGACCAAGGCAACCCCACCGCGCCTTGATTCCAATAAAGAACAGACAGCTCCAGCTCGCCACGACTCTACCACTAGACACTATAGCAGATAAGGCTACTCAGGTCCCCTGACTGACCTGCAGCCCAAGCCTGGCCACTCAGAAGCCAAGCCGCCTTAACTAAGGCGGCATTGTAACTACTATATAAGAAAACATATACCACCAAGGTACGATCATCCTTTACATTAACAACATAAAACTCCTACCTCTGATACTGACTTAAGCATCGGAGTGTCTTCACAGGTACCCCCCATTTGGTGTTAACGTGCCAACGTGAAGGACAAAGGCAAAGCACGATCCCCTACGTAACTCCAAGCCCAAACCGAAGAACTACGCTCACAACTCAACCGTGTGTGATTGGGCTCAGTACATATTGGCCAGTCCATAGTGTATTTGGTCTAATCAGAACTCAAGTTAGAAATGAAGAGTAGCACTAAAAGGGAGATATTATAAAGAAGAAACCATCTTCTTGTGAGGACTTCAGATTTCGTCTTCCTTCAAATACTGGTCAAAAAGTTAGCAAATCCAAGTAACTCATCTATACGCTTTGCTCCCGTGGGTTATTTGTGTCTCACTCTAAAAGTACATTTGTTTTTACTTTGATTTTTGACTCACGAACATATGTCTCGCAGCATGCATGTGTTGCTCTTTTGGAAACTGTATAGGTTGTTTTCTAGTTATCAAATTCTTACTATTCCATCATATAAATAATGTCTTATTTTTATTTGCTTTTTAGACGTTTGGTCTCTGAATGTTTTGCTTATGGGTCCTTTCTAAATTGAAGTGTTCATATACTTGTCGGTTTGCTTCCATGTTTTGTTAGGTTTCATAAAGTTCTTGTTATAAAAATTCATTCATTAGCTTGGGACAATATGTTATTGTGTGTATGTAAATGTGGATCGATATCATGATTTCACTCATAGGCTAATAAATGACACAAACGGTCACCACCTTCCTTTTTCCTTCGTTGGCTGAAACCATATGTCCTTCCTGTGATAAAAATGATACCGACAAGGCTTAGAAAGTGTCCCTTTGAATTGTTTTTTTGTTTATTATTTTCCATTTAAGTTGCTTTCTTTTTTCCAAACGTCTAGGGCTTTGGTCACTGTTGGTGGAAGTCATTTTCAACAAATTTGAATAAAGTAAGAATTTATTATAATAATAATACAAAAAGCGAACCTACAAAGTATCTTTCTAAGTACACAAATGAGATGAAAAAAAATATAAGTCAGACTTAGAAAAGTTGGACACATTTCTTTTTATTATTATTTATCCTTACTAAAAAATGAAATTACTAATGTTCCGTATGACTTCTCATGAACATAAGATAGTTTTTTTTTTTGAAACAAAATTGTAATGTTGAATCCAAAACTTAAACATTTTTATGGTAACATAATAATGGAAAACAATAAGAGCGCGGTGATTATGGATTTTCTTTTAAACATGAAAATAACATCATTCAATTCAGATCACTGTGGGTATGTAAATTTCAAAATTAATTTGATATCAAATAAGAGGGATTAGCTGAGTTGTGACAGTTTGTTAATCCTATTATTTTTTAAATCATTTCGACTGTGACAGTCCGATGATTTAAAACAATTTTAGAAATAATAAATAAACAAACAAATAATCATAATTTTTAATTATTGATTTTGGGTTAATTTAAAACATAAAGAATAAAGAAAGTTAGTTCACTGTCAATTGACATGGGAGTCTGTTGAGCCGTGACAGCTAGTTAACTCCACATATTTATTTTGACTCATTTTAACCGTGACGGTTTGGTGATTCAAAATTAAATCAAATTTATCCTAAAATCTACGATAACAAAAATAATAATATGAATATTATTATTCTTTTAAATAAAAGGATTAGCTGAGTTGAGACGGCTTGTTAATCCTACAATTATCGTTTCAGATTATTTTAGCTGCGACAGTTTGATAGTCCGAAACCATCAAATCAAAAACTTTAAAATTAAAACTACTTTAAAAAATAAAAGCAATCAACACACAAATATTTTCTACAGAACGACGTAGCTTTGAGTTACCTATTATACAGATGGATACGTCGGAGCGGGACTCTTCCCGTCAAGCACAAAAATAAATTTTCAAAATTAGTTTTCTTTTCAAACAATCATTCTTATTTATTTTTTTATGGTGAAATAAATATTTAAAATTTTATCAATAATTTGCACAATTAATACAAGGTAACCGTTTTTTTTAACGGACGGTGTAGGGTGCTAATACCTTCCCTACTCATAATCGACTCCCGAATCCATTTCTGTTTTCAAAGGCCATTTGTCTTTAATAAAAGGTTTTTCCAATGTTTTCCTAAATAAACCTTGGTGGCGACTCCATTGTTTTAAACATCTTAATCTCTTTCGCCATCACGTCGCGATACGGTTGCGACAAGTTTATAATGAGTTTTAAAACTAACCTTGTTTATGATGAAGTTTTCTCGCCAACTATTCCTACCGTTATCCCACACAGTTCTAATCCTGTTTGTGATACTCAAAATGAGTTGTCTATTGCTGAAGAGAGGGGAAATCCTACATCCACGTATCCAACTGAAAATGTTGAGGAAGAACATGAGGCTGAACCTGATACTATTACAGGATCTAAAGAGATTGTTGCTACTCCAGTAGAAGATCCACTTGTGCGTCATTCTACTCGGACTTGGAAGCAACCAGAATATTTAAACTAATATACCTGTAGAATTGAAAGACAGTACCTCTGCACCTGTCACCAATTCCGGTCGTGCTGCTCACATAAAGTAATCCTTTACACAATTATGTTGATTTTGATAAATTTTCTCCTAAACATCGAGCATTTTTAGCCACTGTTGATGCGGGATATGTGCCAACAAATTTTCGTGAAGCAATGACGGATACCAGGTGGATTGATGCAATGAGAAAGGAGATCTCAGCACTTGAGGAAACCAATACATGGCGTATCACAGACCTTCCTCTAGGAAAGCATGCCTTGCCCAGTAAATGGGTTTTCAAAATAAAATATAATGCAGATGGTTCGATCGAGCGATACAAGGCTCGTCTTGTTATTGCAAGAAATAGACAGGTTGAAGGAGAAGATTATGGTGAAACATTTGCACTCGTTGCCAAAATGGTTAGTGTGCGAACGTTGCTTGCTGTTGCATCTGCGAAGAAATGGGAGGTGCATCAGTTAGATGTACACAATGCATTTTTAAATGGAGATTTGGAGGAAGAAGTCTATATGCGCTCTCCTCCAGGTTTTTGGCCATCCACTGGCTCTTCTCATCAGGTGTGTCGTCTTCAAAAGTCGTTATATGGTTTAAAGCAATCACCACACAATTGGTTTTCTAAGCTTCGTTCTTCGTTGCTCGAATATGGATTTGAACAATCCAATGCTGATTATACATTGTTTTCTTTTTCTCGTGGTAATGTATTCTTAGCTCTTTTGGTGTATGTGGATGACATAATCTTAGCTGGGAACAATACCGCAGTTTGTAAGCAGGTGAAAATTTATCTTAACACTTGCTTCAAGATCAAGGATCAGGGACCACTGAAGTATTTTTTAGGAATAGAGGTTTCCTGAGTCAATAGGGTATTTTCTTATGTCAAAGAAAGTACGCATTAAGCATTCTCGCCGAGGCAGGCTTGAGCGGGAGCAAACCAGCAGTTACTCCCATGGAACAAAATCATAGGTTAGCTCTTGATGATGGACCCTTATTTGACAAACCAGAACATTATCGACGGCTTATTGGTAAACTTATATACTTGACAGTCACCAGACCTGATTTGAGCTATGTGGTTCATGTTTTATCACAGTTCATGCAGGCGCCACATGTAACACTCCGTGTATACCCGGTTTGTTAACATGTCATCGTATTAAGCCACGCTTAATTAAAAATAGAATATTTTTTTCTGTTAAATTATGACGTCATTATCCTTACCAAGTTGAATTACTTAAATCATTTCAAAACATTGCCTGCATGTAAATTGCAAAGGACAGCTACTGAAAAATCTCAATAAATAATAAAGTGAGTTTCTAGTCACGGATCTACAACACATAGTCTGGACAGATCCTGATAGTTTGTACAACTCAAATAAACTTAAACATCGTCAAATGAATGTGGCATGGACAATTCCTATACTCACCAAATAAACAGCATACTCATCAAGTCTCAATACAAACAGCATGGTAATGGAGAAAGCATAAAACCAAGCATGTACATCAGCATAAACAGCAAACATGATAATCAACTAAGCTCCGGCCTCCTGCCGCTAGAGGTCTCGGCCCGTGTGTTACCTGAACCTGAAATAAGCGCCCCAAACGTGGGGTGAGATCTCTAAACATAAATCTCAGTAAGACAAGGGGGCCTCAAGGATCTTCAACCCCAAGCTCACTTACATGTGCAATATAAGTTCCAAAAGCACTTAAATAGTATAAGTTCCAAAACAGTGCAATGCAGCAGATAATCATGTCATGTGTGTTATAACTATTCTACTGATCAGAGAAGTGCAGGAATACGTCTATTACCCACACAGTACACGCCCATGCTGTACCCGCCCCCAAGACAACCCCATGGCTTCCTGGCTAGGCGAAACACCACATACATATCATAAAGCAATTGCACTTAACAGCTCAATAGGATTTCAATAAAACAGTACATGAAAACACATCATGCATATAACCATTCCCCCATGGGACATATTGGAACAAACAATGGCTAAACTGAGGACACGAAAGCTTAACTTGAAGCTAACAAACCAAGCCAAGAGTCCACACAAGCTCAAAGCCCAAACCCAGCAGCAGAATCACAATATGTTTCGGACCAGCAATCATATCAACAACCATAACTCATAAGTATAAACATAAAGACAACGCTTCTCCTTTGCGTTTCATGTCTTAAGGCTTCTCACAAAGCCACAAGCCCTTAATCACTTGATTCTGACTTAGTTTAATTATTACAGAAGTCTCACTTCATCAATCTAGGGTCCACAAACCCATAACACAGTTCTGTATGAACAGTGCAGCTACTGTTCTTCGAAAACCCAGAATATCCGGATATTTGTCGGGGCCATATCCGGATATCCATATCCGGATATTTCGCGACAGAATGCAGTTTCTGCATTTCGCGAGATATCACTTCCAAGGTTTCATTTTTAACACTTCTATACGTTAAAGCATGCATTTTTATTCTGTTCAAGGTTCATATATCAGTTGGTTACTTAAACAACTCATTAAACATGCCAAGACTCCACTTTTAACCATTAAAACTCATGATTAAAGGTGGTAAAGCTTACCCAAGCTCAAAACAAAGCAATAATGGCTCTTAGAGCTCACCACACTGCCTCTTCAGTTCTGACTTGAAGGCAAACAAAAATGGCACACCAAAGGTTGGTCTTTTAACACCAAAGATCACTCCTTGGACCTCAAAATTCCATGACAATGGCTTCACCCTCACAACTCAGAAACTCAGCACCTTAAACTCTCCAAACAGAGACCCAAAGTTAGAAACAAGGCCAACACTCACCCCAATGGTAATCCTCACTCACACCAAGTGTTTTGGAGAAGATTTCATGAATGAAAAGGTCTCAGGGCTCAAGAAATGGGGAAGGGAAGGCAATGGAATAGTGCACAAAGGCTGGTCAGCCTCCAAGGTCACGTAGCAATAGTGAAATGCCTAGGGTTTTGTGCAAAAGTCATATTTATAGACGGTTTAAACTTAATCGCACTGTATTAGCGCTAATGGCTACGCTTAGCATTTTAATCCCAAACTTAAGATTTTGAACCTACTCATTTTTCTAAGATTTAACATATTTTTATTTTATTTTTCACAGCACTTTTCCAGTACGCGTTTTTCCATAGCCAGTATCAGTTCTAGCACCGATTCTCATTATTTTAACTTGAAACTCGTTTTACAAATCCTATATAATATTTTAGGAATATTCATGCACTTATTATAATTTTCCGGGATACTTCATCGGTACGCATTTATACCGAGTAGAAGAACCGATATCTGCACTTTTCGTCAGAAAAGCGAATTTAAGCTTTCTTAATCACTTACCATAATTATTAAAGCCTTTTCAAAAATTACTAGGGTCAATTATGGAATTATTTCCTAATTTCTCATAGTTAATTAATTAACTTCCTTAATTAACGGTGCAGGTTCTTACACCACGTGAGACACATTTTCATGCGGTTACTCGTGTTCTGCGTTACATAAAAATGAGTCAAGGGAAGGGTGTTTTGTTGTTTTCTATTAGTGATTTAAAGTTACATGGTTATTGTGATTCGGATTGGGCATCATGTCCCCTTACACGGCTGTCTGTTACAGGTTATTTTGTCATGCTTGGTCACTCTCTTGTATCTTGGAGAACAAAGAAACAAGTCATCGTAGCTCGTTCTTCAGCAGAGGCCTAATACAGGGCCATGGCGACGGTTACTTCAGAGTTTATTTGGCTTAAAGGATTTCTCTTGAGTCTTGGAGTTAATCATTCTAGTCCTATGGATCTCCTATGTGATAATCAAGCAACACTTCACATTGCTGCTAATCCAGTATTTCACGAGCGAACTAAACACATTGAACTTGACTGTCATTTTGTTCGGGAACATATTTTCGCGGGTCATATTGCTACAACGCATGTTCGTTCTCAGTCTCAGCTGGACGATTTGTTCAAAAAGGCTCTTGGACACTCGACCTTCCATGGTTTCCTTCCCAAGTTGGGCATTTCATCCTTAGATGCTCCAACTTTAGGAGGAGTATTGGAGGTTATTTGAATTTTGAATTTTGAATTTTGTATTTAATAAGAGGTGATTGCGTTTTGTATTTAATAGGTGCTGATTGTTTTTTGTATTTAATAGGAGTTGATTGTGTTTTGTATTTAATAGGAGCTGATTGTGTTTTATTAGGAGTTGTAATTTTATGAGTTGGTTACAGATTGTCGCCAATTCAAATTTATTTGTAATTTGTAATTCTGAGCCTATTTATGGGCAACATTTCAATGAAATGAGCAATAGTGTAGATACCAACTTTTATCTCATATGCATTAACAGAAGCATACCCTAATTATTAAAGAGAATTGCATCACTTGTCCCAACGGCTCAAAAGTAACATTCTTGGGGTTCTCAATATCCACTCCAAGAATCTGATAAGCCAAAAACTTCAGCCCTGGGCTAATAACATTCATCAACGACAATCTTGTTTTTCCCAACCTAGCAAGATCCACAGTGATAGATACTTGCAAACCATAGTTATTTAGTAGGTTCTGTGCATCGTTATCCGCTCCAGCACCCACGAAAGTGTTTATAGAATCACAGAGTCTTCAAAATATTCGTTCTTGAAGGCTTACCAACCTATGTTTTGAGCCTGCCTTTGATAAATTGGTTTAGGTTATGAGAGAAGATCTTTCGCCATAGTGATCAACGTGATATGTGACATTTTACAATTCTCAAGTCCTATCAAAAGGATTATGTATATCCCTTAACTCAGTTCTACAATGGCTACTCATTTCCCAAACTTAAAGCTATTCTAAATTTAATTGAACTTTTTGTTTGTTAAATATTTTTATTTGAGCATTCATAATGGCTATTCAATTCACAACCTAACGAAAGAGCTAAACGATGTTATGGTTTTTCAAACATGTTTAATTTTTACTTCCCGTATTCGCAAAATATATATATATATATATATATATATATATATATATATATATATTTTTTTTTTTTTCTTTTCTTTTATCCTCAAAGTTTATATCTTCAAATTAAACGACAAAGTTAAAAGTAAGATGAATAACGCATTGTTTTCAAAAATATTATGAATTTATATTCTATACAAAATCAGCATATGAATAATACTTTTTTTTTATTAAAAGTTATGTGATGATTGTGTTCTGAAAAGCATTAATTTACGCACCACTAGGGTTAGCCTAGTGGTGTGGGGTGTGTGTGTTAAGAGTGTGTGTAGTGTAGGGTGTTGTGTTCAATTCCTTGTAACCTAAAAAAAAAAGCATTAATTTACCATTGAAATCCCATTCGATTAAACAAGAGTCACCAAAGAAAGATATATACATGATCCATAGAGAAAAAGCCTTGGAGATGATGAGGTAAGATAATGTTTAATTTTTTTTAAATGATGAGTAAATTTTTATAAATATAAACTTATTTTATGTAAGTATAATTTTTCTCAAAAAATAATATAAAACTTACACTTTCTTCCGACATTTTAAAACTTACAAAAAATATAATTCTCAAATAGTTTGAGATGTTGCCCCCAATTATGTTGCATTTTTTGATACATGTCTCCTAATTTGTAGTTGAATTTAGCATTAGTTAATTCTGTTATTTACTTGTTAAAGGAGGTTTATGAAGAATTTTAAACTCAAACTAACAGGTAAATAAATTAATAATGTCAAAATAACAACTTTTAAAATTTTAAAATAACAAGAAATATTAATATCTATTGATATATATTATTTTTTAGGTCAGCCTCTCAACAGTTTAAGTCTCCCAACGAATCTTACCTAAGAGGTGAGCATTTAAATGCAAAAAAACATTTCATTAAGGTAAGAGAAAAATTAGAGATGACTCATGAGCTTAACTGTAAGGTAGTGACAACAAATTTAAATATTAAAAATCGTACAAATGGCATATAGAGATTGGATTTGCATGGTCTCGATGCAAAAGAAGCTATACAAGCATTGCGAGTCCGTTTGGAGAAAATCGAAAATGAGGCCTTGTCAAGAACTCATTTTCCTTCAAATAAAAATAATAAGGAAAATGAGTTTGTTGATTCAATCCCTACAAAACAAGTTGGGCATGGGCTAACCTTAGAAGTCATAATAGGTATATTTTTATTTTTATTTTTAAAGAATTACATTCTTACTCTAAACAAAATACAGAAACAAAATGTAGATCATTGGGAATCGCAGAAACAGTGAGGTAACTTGGGTGTTCTGTTTTGAATCTGTTGGCAATTTTTCTTATGTGACTTCAAACGGTTATATCTGGAGTTATAAAATTCAAATTGAGGCGTGTGTATACCTTGTTGGAAAGCTAAAAGTGTCTAGTTTAACATACTAAAAGATGAGAATTTATTGATGTGTAGATCAGGCTCAGTTCTATGTAAACTAACTAGTATTGGGATCTAATTATTAAATGGGAATTAAATGTTAAGACTTGTGGTATAACATGAACTGTCAAGAGAAATAAAATTGTTGAAATGAGTATGGTGATTACGAAGTTCATTACGAAGTTAACAAATGATATGTTGGTTGCTTGGGTTAGAAATTAAAGTGTACTGTGTTGAAGTTGATGGTATTTTATATATGATACCATAATATTAAATCAGATGAAGTAATGGACGTAGAGTGTGTGAGTAACTTGGATTGCGAGTAAATAGCAGGGAGATTTACAAGTAACAAGTTCTCGGCTTAGGAGTTTTCTCCATATATGATGTTCCGCCGTAATCAGGTTGTAAGAACACGCACCGTTAATTAAAGAAGTTAATTAATTAATTATGTGAAATTAGGAAATAATTCCATAATTGACCCTAATAATTATCATGAGGCTCTAATAATTATAGTAAGTGAGTAATAATGTTAAAAGTCACTTTTCTGACGAAAAGTACAGATACCGGTTCTGCTACTCGGTATAAATGTGTACCGATGAAGTATCCCGGAAAATTATAATAAGTGCTTGAATATTCCTAGAATAATATGTAGGACTGTGATTTCAAGTTTCAAGTTAAAATAATGAGAACTGGTGGCAGAACTGATACTGGCTATGGAAAAGCGCGTACCGGAAAGGTGCTGCTAAAAATATAATAAAAATATGTTAATTCTTGTAAAATTGAGTAGCTCCAGAATCCTAAGTTTGGGATTCAAATGCTAAGCGTAGCAATTAACGTTAATATTGTGTGTTTTCACTTAAGTGGGCTATATATACAACTTTTGGGCCCAAAACCCTAGGCACCTTGCATTCCCACGTGACTTATGGATAGGCTGATCATCTTGTTACTGTTCCATTGGCCTTCTTCACCCTTTCTTGGGCCAAGTTGACACCTTTTGCTTTGATCCCTCTCTTCTTCTCCTTGTAAACACTTGTGAGCTTCATTGTGAGGGTGAGAGGTAATCTCTTCTGAGTTTACAGCCACTATTTGGTTGAGGAGTGGGTTGAGTTCTTGGTCTTGAGTAGTTGAAGCCTTGTTCTTGAGTTGTGGAAGCTCCAAGTAGCTTTCTTGTGAAGGAGAAAACCTTGTTGAGCATCATTTTCGTTTCCTTGGGAAGTTAGCACCTTGGAGCTGAGGTGTGAGCTCCTTGAGCACCCATAGCTACTGCCTTGAAGCTTGGGTAAGTGCTACCACCTTTGATCATGAGTTTTGTTGAGTAAAAGAGATGTCTTGACATGTTTAATAAGTTAAACAAATGTGTAATCTGAGTATGAACCTGTATATGCTTAAAAATGGATCCTTGGACGTGTTTAAGTGTTAAAAGTTGAACCTTTGAAGGATATCTTCACGAAATGCAGAAACTGCATTCTGTCGTGAAATATCTGGATATTGATATCCGGATATAGGATCTGTGGATATCTGAATATGGATATCCGGATATGTAACGCCTGGCAACTTGCAAGGATAAACGACTGTCCCCACACACTAACACGAGACTTTTCAGCGGGTTCTTCCCAATGCATGGGGTTGGGGAAACACCTTGAGTGTGTCACACTCAACATAAAGTGTATGAAACATGTCCTTCCCTTTTCATGCTAATTATTGCGCCTAGGGAGATGGAGAAAGGTGGCTCCACCTTTTTAATCATAAATGGAGAAAGCTTGGGTTTGGGAACCCTTTGGTGTGCGCCTAGGGAGATGGAAAAGTTTATGATCCTTAATGTGTTCACCTAGGAAGAAGGAAAGACACTTATCTTCTTGCTTCTACATGACTGTGGCTTGTACTTGGGAAAGCCAAGTTTCATTTAATTCTTTTCCCTTATTTGGTGCATGTAGTGGCATCCATTCATCTCATGCCACGTCACTCATCATAGGTTCATGGACTTGGGTTTGTTGCCCACTAGAAGGGGTCCACGGTTTTGGGCTTCTTAATGGGGGGATTACTTTGCATTTGGGCCAAGGCCACACTAGGAAATGGGTTCGGCCCACTTGGCCTTTTGGGGTTGGATTTCCATTGAAATTAATAAATGGGCCAAGCCTTATTCCTTTACATATTGGGTTCGGCGCAAGGAGTCTCTTTGGGTTGGGTTCACCCTAGGTTGGGGTACTTGGGTTTATCAATGGTGTGGGCTTAGTCTAAGATCATAAAATTTCAAGAGTTTATGAGTTTGGGCCATTAAAGCCATTACTTGGTGTGGGTTTATCCCACTATGTTTGGGCTTTTAATTTATTTAACCATACTTAACTTTGGAATA